AGACTTGAGAGGAGATCTTTTGTATGATAGAAAAGAAAGAGAGGCAGGCCCACCATTTCCAGGCACAGACTCAAAGTCTTAACCACAGGAAACAGTACGGCAGTATAGTTCACCAAGGGTGTCCAATCTTTTGGCTTCCCTGAGCCACACTGGAAGAATTGCCTTGGGCCACACAGAAGATATACTAACAGTAATGACAGCTGATGCGCTAAAGAAAAAAAAAAATCACAAAAAAAATCTCATAATGTTTTAAGAAAGTTTACAAATTTGCAGTTGGGCAGCATTCAAAGCTGTCCTGGGCCGCATGTGGCCTGTGGGCTATGGGTTGGACAAGCGTGGTTTAACTAGAAAAGACCTCCACCTTCCACCCCAACCCAATTCCTATATGCATTTGCTAAAGTGTATGTGTATGCTGTGGTATTTATGTTTCCTTACAATTCTAGCTATGATTAATAGCCATACATCAATATTATTCTTATTGGCTATAATTATAATTCTTCTGTGGGGTGGTCTAATAAATTCTAACCAATAAGCCATGTGATTCAGAAACTTAAAAATATGTAGTCACCTTTAATATACACGTTTAATTCAACTAGCATTTTTTTAAATCATATAAGTGGTATAATTGAATGTTGTTTTAAAACTATTTTTAAAATGAGATGAATCCGTACATGTTGATATAAAAAGACATCTGTGTTAAATGACAAAAACAAGATATACAGCTGTATTATCGAATTCAATCCCTTTTGTGAAAATAAAAAGTGAGATATATATTTAAACTGGTGGATACCAAAACATTTTTCTGGGAAGATATGCAAGACACTTAATAATGGAGACCTCTGGGAGGATAGGAGCACTGGAATGAGAAGAAAAGCTTTAAATTCTAATTTTACATGTTTCTGTACTGTTCGAAGTTTTTAACAATGCTCACGGTATTTTTAAATCAATCGATTATATATTTAATATAGGATTATCTAAGTGTAGCACTTATGGCCCTTTTTTATACATTTCTGCATTTCTATAAAACCCTAATAAATAATATTTTTAAAAGATCACATTCTCCACACTTGAATCCCTTCTTATTGAAACATTCACCTGGCTTATCTTCCTGAAGATACTATGCTTTGCCTTGTTATGTAAATGAGGAAAATAATGCCTACTTGGCAAGTTAGTTATAAGGACTAAATGAGATAAAGTACGTAAAGTGTCCAGTAGAGTACCCAATACATAGTAAGCACTTAATAAATGTTAGTATTTCCAGTGAAAATTGTTTTTTCACCCTGCACATATATATTCACTCGTTTCCTACCTAAAAAGAATTTATCTTTGGAACAACCACTTTCTCACTGTTAGCCTATGTGGCATGAGGCCCAGACTTTAGCCAATTAGAGCATTCCATTCCCTTTGCACAGACTGTTTCACAGGTGGCCCAGGACTTTTATTCAAATCAATGCTGGGGAAGAGAAACTCATTCCCCTTGGATTTTAATTTTAGAAGATATGTGGCTGGAGTTTCTGTAGCTAACTTACCACAACAAAGGAGAGCCTAAAGGTGCTAGAAGCCATCATATGGAACCTGAAAATAATGCTAAGACAATGGAATCCAAAGCGAGGAAAGTAACCAAATCCTTGTGTCTTTATTTGAACCCTTAATCCAGTTATAGTCACCAGACTTTTCAGTAATAGGAGACAATATTTTTTTCAAGACAATTTGGATTGAGTTTTCTGTCACTTGTAATCTAGGGTCCCACCCTAGACATTACTGTAATTACTTCCTCTTCTTATATTCTAAAAATGAACATTTTCTCAATATCCTTGGTCTGATGCTAGCTTCTCTCTACTTAACAATCTTAAAAACCTAACCTATTTTTAGTGTTCCAGTTATTCTTACAACACTATCCATTTTATTTTCTCTCCTAAGCCATATTCTCTACCTCTACTGCTTGTTGAATAGATCTTTCCAGAATTCCAACCTACAGAAATAAAAACATACTTATCTTTCAAAATGGTATTTGCAAAAAAGAGCTGTTCTGCCTTCTAGCTTCCTGGGTTTCTGATGATAAGTTATATGTGTTTCAGTAATATTAATACACCAAGGGGGTTTATATTATCAGGAGAAATATTCACTTCCATCTGTACTGTCTATATCTAATTTATTATAATCTTGAACAATATTCTCTATTTATCTTGAACAATATTCTCTAAATATTTATACAATAAATTCACATTTACTTTGATTTATTAGTTAATATCTAATTTATCTAAATATTTACAATTATAAACTTAATCTTTTAAAATATTTACTTATAAATCTAATTTCAGCTTTTCTGAAATGTTATGACATTAGAAAGCAAACAAAACATGTATTATTAAAATGATGACAAAAGCTTGCACTTAAAGAACTGAAGACTTTAATTCTAATTCCAATTTTTCACTTTGAACTTTTTCTTATTTCTGTATGTGGGGTATAATTTTACTTTTCTAATGTAAAAAGTGAGGTTTTCTTTCTAAGACTGCCTGAAGTTGCAGGTAAAGATTACTGGCAGATCATTTTAGACTAGGAAGATAAGACCTGGTTATATTAATACTTTCCAAAATGATGGTAAACCAGTCTTTTCCAGGTAGACCAGCTTTTCTTTGTAATTAAAATCTGTTAATTTCATGAGACATGTCCAAAATATTGGCAACAATCAACCAAAAGGCTTTATTTCTTGTGACACTAATACCTTCTCAAAAATTATGCTTATTCTGGGCCAGGCGGGGTGGCTCACACCTGTAATCCTAGCACTTTGGGAGGCTGAGGTGGGTAGATCACCTGAGGTCAGGAGTTCAAGATCAGCCTGGTCATCAGGGTGAAACCCCACCTTAAAAAATAAATAAATAAAAGAAAAAAAATTATGCTTATTCTCAATGTCTTATTTTTTGTTGTATGTATACACCTCCAGATTTAACTCTACTCTGAAGCTGTTTATGTTTTCTCATTATACAACCTGGTTTATGACACTTTTGAAAATATTTCTTCTGTGTGGGCAATGGTTAGTTTCAATTAAATTTAAGGCCATCAGTCAGTTTATTCGTCAAAACTATATTTCTGTGTATTATCATTCTTCCTATACCGTTATCAATTATTCAAGGATTCACAAAGAATACTGTATGACTGACACTGAACCATCAAAATCTACAAAAGCTATAGATTTTTCTCCCAAAATGACTTCCGATTTTTTTCCATCCTACTTTGTAGGCACTTCTCACTTACTGTTATCTAGTAACAATCTTAACTAAAGCCTAGACTGATCTCAGTTTCCTTCCTCTTTAACACATTCCATATAACTACTGTTAATCATTCTTCCTATATTTACCAAGTCATTCCTCGGCTCAGAATTGTTCTAAAAGCTGTTTCCTCCATATCATATCTAACATCCTTGATTTGGTTTTCAAGATCCTTCAATTTTAGTATATGTGCTGCCGAAGCGAGCACTCAAGATCCTTCAAAAGCTACACTTCCTTTAACTTGATATCCCTTATTCATCCTTAGCACACCCTAATAAGTTCAATGTCATAAACACAGCAAAATCAAATATTTATGGAATGTGTGCTAGATGAATAATCATAAACAGTACGATGAGACAGGTATTATACGCTGGTTTCATAAATAAATACTCTCAAGATTGACAAAGTGAGGAAATAGTCAAGCATATATCTCAAAAATGATGGAACTTGGGACTCTGTTTTCTATATTACATTTTTGCACTACATTGTGCTGTTTTAGCACACTACTCGATTTGGTCTATTTATTTTTTTCATAGTTGATACCTCTCTAATAGTAACTCAGTCTTTGTCGTGTTCTACAACCTTTGGAAATGCAAAACTTCCAGAAGCCCTCAGAGATAATCCCTGTATCTTTTTGTTATGCTTACCAGCCAAAAAACTTTTTTCCATTGAGCATTACTTTCTATAGTTTGTTTTATGAGAAAACAACAATTATTTTTTAACTTCAAACATAAAGATATATCATGATATTGAGTCTATGCTTCTTCAAAATACATCAGTCTCCCAACCTCACCGAATTCTTACAATTGGTTGGCTGAGGGTGGCTCTCCACCCCTTTCTGAGAATCACTGAACCTGACTTCATGCTCTTCGATGGAAGAACCATAATATATTTAAAATGATTATGTAAATTCATTCAAAAAGCAGATTTATTGATGCTTTAATATGCCAGACCCTAAGTAAGCAAAAGTTAAAGAAAAAAAAAAAAGGAGGCTAGTTCTTAATGTCAAGTACTTAAAAGTTGTTGCATAAATACTTGAGATAATCAAATGAGCTGGTAGTTCTTTAACAATGCAGGGAATTAGGAGCCAAGTATGAGATTCTGATGAAAGCTGTAGGAACACTAACTCTCCAGAAAAATGCACATAGAATCGTGTATACAATTTTAGGGGAGTTATGAAATCTGAAGCCCAATCACCTTCAGATCCACAGACCCCAGGTTAAAAACCCACTAAAACTAACTTCTCAGGAAACAGTAATTGCCAAACTTGCTTACTAATCCTAATTATGCCTTATCCAGTGCAATGTATACAAAAGCCACTTAAGGAATATTTGCTGATCGATAATGCCCTCATAAAAATAGAACACTGGTAAGTCGTTTTTTTCCATTACAGAGCCTTTTAGTAAAATTATTGTAAAAGTCCGAAACCTTTCACTAGTAACACCAATGATCTAAAACCAGTAACTCGAAAATCGTTATTGTGCTACTCACATGTGGACTAAGCTATCACTAATCCAGGTCTTCTCCTTATTGTCTCTTTACTCCCTTCAGACTCAGGGGCTTCCTCCTTCGCATCCCAAAAGCTACACCCAGAGCCCCCGCTGCCGCCAGAGAAGACAGAAAATGATGCTCCACGAAGCACACACCTTCAAAACAGGAAAAATGGGGATCCAGTGACGGCTACAACTTCCAAACTCTTTTCTCACCACGTCCAGAGTTGACGAGATTTACCTTAAGTTCCAGGAAAGCGGTGGCGATTGCTCACAAATAGTTGGTACCAGTTACCAAGAAGCCTCCGGATCTCCCCGTCACCATAGTGACTTCTAAGAATACGCTCCCTTCGTCTTCCCGCGATACTTCTACGCGCACGTCATCCGAGTGGGGCCGAGACCCCGCCTCCCAGGGAGCGCGCCTTCTTCTGAAGAGGCGTTTCTGGGTCCTTGAGCCCCGCCTCCTGGTGTGAGCAGAACTCTACCCATTTTTAAAAATCTTTTCCAAAATTTGCCAGGTTGCTTCTCCAAATATTTTTAATAATAGTGCCGCTACTGTAGACCATGAAGAAAACAATCCCTCGCTGTTTTCACTTAGTATAAACTTCTGTCGCCTAGGTCCCGCCAGGAGTTCGCGCATGCGCAGGAACGACCATAAGATGGCGGTGAGAATCGCCGCACTTTTTTTCAAATTAGTGGATCCCAGAAATCATTGCGCGCATTTGTAACGAATTTCCGTTCGAGTTTGTATTTTAGGCGCCATTTTCGAGTGAAGGACCCGGAGCCGAAACACCGGCAGGAGCGGGGAGGGGGGCAGGTACTACACAACCGTCTCCAGCCTTGGTCTGAGTGGACTGTCCCACAGGTAAAGTACTTCTCTTCCTGGTCAGGTTGTCACGCTCTTACTTCCTGTCTTGTCCGCGGGCGCCTGGAAAATAGAGGCCTTGAGCCGGAGCAGCGAAGTCCGGGCTGAGGCTGCCGCTGGGAGATTTCGCTTGCTGTCACCCCTCCCCCCTCGGCCGCTCCCCGGCGCCCGGGCTCCCGCCCGTGCTCCCGGGCGCCACTTTTCCGAGCTACTCAGACGTCTCTCGTGGAGGCTCCGAGCCTCGCAGATCTGTTCTAAAAAAATACTGGTCTCTATCTGGGAAAGGGCGTCTCCCCCTACCCCTCTGTCTTCTGCCAAGGGACTAGTTACCGGGTCTCAGCCTTCGCTGGTGACCTTTCATGGTTTACTGTCCAACGGGAGGGACTCCGCCCGAGGAGCAGGAGAGATAAACTCCTGCCACCCCAAAATTAGTGAGCAGGCGCTGCCAGTGTCCGGCTTGAAGTTGCTAGTGGTTGGTCCCAGCCTTCGCCCTTCGCGGTTCGGACTGCGGAGAGGAGGGGAGACCTCGTTATGCCCCGGGCGGTCCACGGCGTCAGGAGCTAAAGGGCGGGCAGAGGAAAGCGGGCGGCGAGTCGCCGGTTAGTCCTCACTGCTCTCGAGAGTTGTTCGCCGCTGGATCCTGACCCTGACACGAACTCGTCTCTCCAAGTCGGATCGCTTGCATCCCTGGCCCCGAGAGCGTGGGAGTGTCAGGAAATGCCAGCGTATTGGAGTTCCTCCGTTAGAAATACGTTAGCGAGTATTACACGCTTGTACTGTGGGCGGACGGTTGGAGGTCCTTAAAAAAAAAAAAAAAAAAAAAAAAAAAAACCTAAGCAGTTGCTCAATTATTGATTGATCCTCAGGCACGTCTAGGTTTTCCCACTTACATAGGCCTTATTAAGAAACCAGTCCTGCCTTCTTGCCACTTGCGTCTTTCGGTGGCGCCTTCACGAAGTCCCGCTGAGCGGGGTGTTAAACGGGGCTCTCGGAAGCCGGTGGACCGAGGTTTCCCCGGGTGGGACGCGCGGTGCAGCGGCCCGCCGACTGACTTGCTCCCGGCTCTCCACTGGCCCCAGCAACCATGCCCCGTAAAGGCACCCAGCTCTCCACGGCCCGGCGCAGAGAGGGAGGGCCGCCGCCGTCCCCTGACGGCGCCAGCAGCGACACGGAGCCTGAGCCGCCGTCCGGCCGCGCGGAGTGCCCACCTACTGCCGCAGGTGAGTGACCCGTCGCGACTCGGCAGGAACGCGCGCAGGGGGACTGGCAGGCATACGCGCCCAGCCACAGGTTGGCTGAAGTTATTGAGCGCGGGCAAGAGGCTGCGGGGTTGACGTCTAAAGGTCCGGTGTTTGTCCCGTAGAGCAGCTCAGGAAAGCCATTTGGTGACTTTGAGATAGGACTCCTGTGCAGTTTTGGTGTAATGGCGTTGGAAACGATGGGGGCAAGCAAACGGGTTCAGTTGTGAATTTTTGTGACCGTTTGGAATGGTACGTCTTTATTGTAGTTCTGCTAAAATCGAGACGGTCAGTCAAGAGCAAGTGAACTTTTTTTTCCGGAGAAAATCAATATGACTATGTGAGCATGACGAAAAGTTGCTTGACCCTAACCTCACCTCCGTGGTCTTAGATTGCCTTTAAAGAGAAGACGATAATTTATTTGAAACCACTGTAGCTTTTGTGAATCCAGGAGTTAGGTGACATTATGAAACCCCTATGGCAGTGCCCCCGAAGTTCATGTGTTTCCAAAATGAAGGTTCCAGGTGCTCAGCGGTAGCGGTACGGAGAATTGGATCTAGAGCCTTAGGATTAACCTCCTGTTTAGGATAGCAGGAAATCAGCTTGTTACAGTTTTCCCAGATGTGCTGTATGATGTAGTGTTTTGACTCTGACGAGGTATAGGTATATAGAATTTTATGGCTGGTGGCATTTCTTTCAAGAATTTTTTAATGGAAACCAAGCTGAAGGTTTAGATTCTCACCCCCATGAGTTTAAGACAATAACATATCTAAGTGGAAAATATAGACTGCTGAGTTTCATAAACAGCATCTCTCAATCCCCTACTTTAAAGATGGGCAGTCACTAGTTCTTCAAACTAATTTCACTAATGTAGGCTCCCCCGCCCCCTTTGCCTTCCTTTTTCTTTCCTTCACTGACTTAGAGACTGCAAGTGAGGAACTTGATAATAGAAGTTTAGAAGAGATTTTGAATAGCATTCCTCCTCCCCCGCCTCCAGCAATGACCAATGAAGCTGGAGCTCCTCGTCTTATGATAACTCATATTGTAAACCAGAACTTCAAATCCTATGCTGGGGAGAAAATTCTGGGACCTTTCCATAAGGTATTTGTACGGAAATAACTATTTTAGAACTTTTTAACTATTGTAGGGTAATCCGTCTTTACAAGGTGTTTCAGTTTTGTGACTATCCTCTCTATACTGATAGTCATATTCATTCTGTCTCTGTTTCTCTGTGTCTGTCTTCTCACACACACGATCTGTTCATATGATTTTAACAACTGAAATTATCTTTTGTTTATCTGGTTATCTTTGGCACTTCTAGCTATAAAGTTTTTCATTGAATGGAGTTGGTATGTTTTTGTTTGAAAGAGTATTTTCCTTTAGATCATTTTTTTCCTGAATAAATCCTTTATTGGAACCGTTAGGTAATTTATTACAATGAGTTTTCTAAAAAGTCTGCGTTAGCATTATAGCATTCTTATTGAATGTTGAAGCTCGGAAGAGAGAACATGATATAAGAAAACTCCATTCGTATGCCTGTGATTAGAAACGACTTTTAAATACTTGTAATTTTACTACAATAAAACAGTCTAACAGTTTAAGTTAAAGTCAGTAGTATTAGCATGACCTTATATGCCTTTGCGTGTTTTTGGTTTTGTTTTTTTATACAGCGCTTTTCCTGTATTATTGGGCCAAATGGCAGTGGCAAATCCAATGTTATTGATTCTATGCTTTTTGTGTTTGGCTATCGAGCACAAAAAATAAGATCTAAAAAACTCTCAGTATTAATACATAATTCTGATGAACACAAGGACATTCAGAGTTGTACAGTAGAAGTTCATTTTCAAAAGATAATTGATAAGGTAAGGGATTTTTACTATTTAGTTATTGGCAAGTTCAAGTAAGGAAAATGGACTTAGATGCATAGTATATTTTATTATTTTTGGCTTAAATTGGCTTTAAGAAATCTATATGTAATTATAGCACAAAGTATTGGTTTCATACTGCTATGACCATATTTTATTTTGGGGGAGTGGTGATGCCTGTTATATTAATTTTTTTAGCTAAATAAATGAATTACAAATAGTTCATAATAATCCTTGAAGGAATAAAAGCATTGAACAGTTTTAGGATCCTGAGTACAATATAGGCATTATTTTACTGAAAATACTGGGTTCATTTTTAAAGCGATATTTTGGTTACTTTAAAACAAATCGGCTAAATTTGAAAATGTAGCAGTTGGCTGGTTTTACTGTCTTCATTATTTTTATGTGTTTTAACTTTAATGTAGTGGCCCCTGAGTATCTGTGATATGAAAGATCTTTGCCACAGTTTGACTACTGTTATTAAGTCCTTTTGAAATTGGGGAAGGGCAAGCTAATGTTTGTTTTCTAGAAATAGAGACAATAATAGGTAAAGTGTCTAGATTATTTACAAAGTTCTGTTGATACTTTTTTCTTCTGTTTAATAATATGGGAAATTGTTCAAAAATGACTCGAAACTATATGACTATTTTTCTGAAAGTACGGAAAACTACATAATGAAATTGGGAGGTGATTTGGCTTTTAAATTTTGTTTTCCTGTTTTTTTGTTTTTTTTTTTAAATATAAAATGCTTTAATTGAAAATCATCTATTTTAATTTGGTTTCTTTTGTGCTTTCTACTGTACAAGTTGGGTTGGAACATGGATTGCCAGGAATTTTATTTCATTGCCTGTTAATTATATTTGATTTATCTAAATGTTAGAAGCCATTGCTTCAGTATGACAGAACCTTTAAGGGTAAGGGAAAGTGAGTGTTAATATTAAAGTAGATTTGCACTTGATTTTTTTTTTAAAAATCTGTTTGTTTAAAAGAAAATCTGGGGAATTTAGTTATTTCTTTGTGATTCTTTTTACTTTAAATTAATGGCACACTCTACCCTCCCACACAAAAAAACTAAACCATATCACCCGGTTACTAACCTGCCTTTCTTTTTATTTGAATCATCATTTGAAAAGCTGCAGCTTTTTAAATCTGTCAACATGTTAATAATTTGTGTGAGTTTTGGATATGGTGGAAATCTTATCTACCTTAATCAGCTCTTTTCAGTCAAATATGTTTTTAGGCTTGTTTAGAGGTGGGTTTTTTGTTGTTGGCTGGTTGGTTTGGCTTCTTGGTTTTTGTGATCTATGAGAAAGGGCCCAAACAACATGGAAAAGTATCAGTTCTTTGCTAAGCTCAGTTATTACTGAGAACTACTGGCAGTTTATGTGTTCAGTCGAAGTTTTTAATCCATAGAATTATTTTCAATATGATATGAGTAAATTTTGAAGTAGGCCTGTGACTTAATACCAACAGTTGTTTTCTGGCTTTGTTTTTCCTCAAAACAGGAAGGGGATGATTATGAAGTCATTCCTAACAGTAATTTCTATGTATCCAGAACGGCCTACAGAGATAATACTTCTGTCTATCACATAAGTGGAAAGAAAAAGACATTTAAGGATGTTGGAAATCTTCTTCGAAGCCATGGAATTGACTTGGACCATAATAGATTTTTAATT